TACCTCGCGTTTGAACGCCCGAGGAGGCGAATCCCTGTGAAGGGTTGCGCGGCGCCCGCAAAAAGTGTAACTTTACCTCGCGTTTGAACGCCCGAGGAGGCGAATCCCTGTGAAGGGTTGCGCGGGAACCGCAAAATGTGTAACTTTACCTCGCGTTTGAACGCCCGAGAGTTCCAATCCCTGGGAAGGGTTGCGCGGTGCGCCTAAAATGTGTCACTTTACCTCGCGTTTGAACGCCCGAGAGTTCCAATCCCTGGGAAGGGTTGCGCGGTGCGCCTAAAATGTGTCACTTTACCTAGCGTTTGAACGCCCGAGGCAGCGAATCCCTGGGAAGGGTTCACCCGCGCGCCTAAAATGTGTAACTTTACCTCGCGTTTGAACGCCCGAGGAGGCGAATCCCTGTGAAGGGTTGCATTCCCGATGGACCCCGACGGTGCCACCCCCGCCTTTAAAAGAAATATTAAGATACCGAGATGTAGAGAGTAAGTCATAAGTCATAGTAAGTCATCGATGCATAGAGAGTCAGTCATAAGTAAGTAATCATAAGTAAGGAAGTAGAGTCAGTAAGTAAGTCAGTAAGTAGTAAGTATAGTAAGTATAGTAAGTATAAGTAAGCAAGTCAAGTAAGTAAGTAAGTAAGTATAGAGATAGCATAACATAGAGTCCAGTGTCAAGTGTCAAGTAAGTTAGTAAGTAGATTGAAGTAAGTAAGTTGTCAAGTGTCAAGTAAGTTAGTAAGTAGATTGAAGTAAGTAAGTAAGTAAGTAAGTCGTAAGCATAACATAGAGTCAAGTATCAAGTGTAGAGTCAAGTATCATAGAGTCAAGTGTCAAGTGTAGAGAGTCAGTCATAGGGGTCAAGTACGTAAGTAAGTATCAAGTGTAGAGTCAAGTATCAAGTGTAGAGTGTAGAGTAAAGTATGGAGTCAAGTAAGTTGATTCTATGTCTGTCATCTATGTACTCAGCTGCGGCGTTCCACACGGAAGAACCCTTCGCGATGCTTTCGGGAAAAACCTTAGGAGCTGTCCCACCCCTCAGAAGCATCACGTTGCGCGCTCACGGATGAAGGCCTGGTAGCCATACCACATGGCGGTGTCGTGGCGCAGGCGAGTCGCAGCCCCATCAGTCCGTGGGTCGTCCGGCAGAAATTTCAGCACTTCCCCGATCTGTTAGACTCCTCAAGCGTCATGTTCCAGAGCTCTTCGGCATAGTCATGGTCCTTCTGGGCTCTGACTTTTTCAAGCAGGGTTTCCCTCCGGAGGGGAGCACTTGCCCAGAAATCGTCAAGGTCCATCGTGGCAGGTTTAACATCGCTAGCGAATACCCCCGTACGCCCTAAGTACCCCGTTAGCTTAAAGCCGGCAGCCAGGTCATCGAAGAGAGTCGTGTCAGGCCACGACAAGTCGGCAGCGATCCTCTTCATGAGTGCGATGCGCTTACACCCAAGGACCTTCCGCACACAAGGGTCCATCGCCGATCTGATTTTCTCTTCATCGGGCTCAAGCTGCTTGGCGAGGGCTCGCCACTGTTGTAGCTTCAAAAGGCGGTGCTTCATGGTGTCAACTGGGCTCTTCGTAAGAGTGTCAAACAAGACTCGCAAAAGTTCATCTGGAAGTGATTTGGCAGAATCGAAGGGGTGCACAACCAACTTTGCCTCGTTCAAGAAAGCTTGCATGGATCGATAGACGCCGAAAATGTAGAACTTGTTCCCCTCTGGGAGTCGCGAACCTCCCCTTTCAACTGACTCCCGTAGGAGCTTGGCGCCTGCAGCGACGCCTTTCCAAGAAGCCGAAAGGCAGTGCTTGGAGTTGAGAGTGGGGGCTTCAGCACTGGCAACTGACATAGTGTAAGCAAATTCAGAAATGATTGGCGGAAACTTGCGGCCACGAGGTTGCACCTGACCTGCGGCACGCGCAGCAGAAACCCTGGAGGCAACGAGGCGTTCAGGCGCAATCCCTCGTGCTGCAGCTGACTTATCCACGCATGAAACAATCCTTTCGCAAAGAAGTTTGGGATAGCCCGTCTCCTCAGCCGTTGCAAAAGAATTGCCCTGCTTACCCCATGGCAAGTGCGAGGAACATCCCGGGCAGGGTCCCGAAAGGCAGTGTAGGAGCTCCGAGTTTGTGAGGAGGGCTGTGGCCTTCTTGCGTTGTGACCCGTGGCGGCACGAGTCAAATGTGACGAAGGAGTGCTTGGCGACCAGCTCGGCCCACCTCGGGAGCTGCCACAGGTAACTGTGAAGAGGGTTTTCAACGGAGAAGGGAACATGCGGCATGGCATGCAGCAGCCAGTCACAGAAGGCTGCCATGCTGTCATAAATGGTGTTTGCACTGTCCACTCTCGCCTGCTCCACTGGTGGGAGGCCGGGCAGGCCGCGCACATGACGGACCGAACGCAATGGCTTAGGGCCGGGACCGCACTCCCGAGCCCGGCTAGCGGTGCCGCATGGAGGAGCCATGTGCACCCAAGCAACATCGTACTCGGAGCAAATGCGTCGCAAGAAGGACCAAGTGCTGGCCAGGCGCAAGTCGAGCTGTAAAGTGTGCACACACGCCCGCTGTTTGTTGTGATGCCAGTCGATGGGCACGGCTGTGTATCCGGCCTCTTTGGCAACATAAGACAGCATAGCAGACCCACTACAGATTTCCAGAAACAGCGGTTTCTCATGCCTGGGAGTCCGCTCGGCTTGAGCTTGCGATTTCAAGCGTTTACAAGGAGGGTCGGCGGGTGAGGCGGGACTAGAACCCAAAGGAGCGGGGGCAGTAGGGCTAGACCCAGAAGGTGCACTTTCAAATGGCAAAACAGGCTGAAGAGGCGGAGGGAGCTGTTGCGCCGCGGCAGCAGGAGCACACGGAAAACCCAATGGGAGCAACGTGGCGGGTTGCCCACCTGAAAGAGTGTAAAGTGTTACGACCCAATGGTCACCTGTGAAGGGCATCGTCTTATGCCACAAGTCGCACGGAAAACTAGTGGGGCAACAAAACGTGTCTACGATCTTACCCCTGATGTGCTTATCGCCTGCGACAGTGGCTTGAGAAGTGCCCGACGCATCTTCGAGCCAAAGTTGGCCCCCAGTGAAGGTACCAAGCGTGAAAGTGTGGTTCAGCGAACCCGCTTGGTTCCCTGAGTCTCTGTGGAAATCTGACAAAGTATTCCTGCCCACACAGATTGCATTCCAGGAAGCTTGAGGCAGAAGCTCCTTGACAGCTGAGTTCAGGCGCAATACGAAGTCCTGCATGGCAAGGGTGGCATGTGTCAAATGTTGCGGACTGCTGGCCCTGGGCCCAAAGTTGTAATACCCCGACTGCGTGGAGTTCACCGAAGAAACAGACTTACGTTGCAACACAGAGTTGGGCCACGCAGCATTCTGAAGCAATTGCAAAAGTGAAGAAAATTTGCTTGTATCCACACTAGCACTCTGCTGACACGGATCAAGATGCACTAAAGGAGAATCTGTCGGCGCAGGGAAGGCCTGCGGCGATGCAAAACTGTGCCCAGCCAAGCCTGGGCAATCCCGACTCTGAGTCGAGTGCTGCGAGCTGCAGGGCTCGCGTTCCGACTGTCACTCCTGCTTTTGGCCTAGAGCCTCAGCACGCAGCGGACAGTCCAGGGCAGGGTGCGACTTGCCGCACTTGGGCCATGCGCAAATGTGCAGGCCACGCACGCATCGACCACGAGTCACAGTTTCCCTGCATGTTTTGAGTCCATACCCAAAACATATGTTCTCAGCAGCATTGGTGCATGATCGGCAGCCCGCCAGAGCGGCGGGAACCTTCCCGGATCCTTTGGTGCCCTTGGCACCTTTCCCTGCGCCTTTACGGCCCTTCCCAGGGCGTTCGTACGGGGTTGCCCCGTGTGGCCGCGGAGGCGGCGTTGCTTGCTGCGAACTCGCTGCCCTAGGCATAGGTTGAAGTAGGTGAAGCACCTCTGGCGCCTGCCAAGTGCCCTCGAAGATGGCGTCCAATGGACGCCCGCCAGCCTTGAGCTGGATGCCTGAGCGTGTAGCTTCTCCGAGAAGCTGCCAGAGCTTTCTGTCAGCCTGCTGACACTGATCAAGAGTGGGCTGCATGTGCGTCGACGGAGGGGCGTCGAGGCGCGCAGCAAGAAGGCGTTCCACCCACATATGGTGGTGATGGTAGTCGAGGATGTTTGCCATTTCCATGGCAATGCCGCGCCGCTGAAGCGCGAGCTGCAAAAGCAGCTCTGTGCTTGTATCCGCACGGACCTCGACCTTCGTCTCTGACCTAAGCTTGCCCGTACTGTCCAGCGAGAAGAAAGGCTCACGCTTTGCACCTGTTGCAGATTCTTGTTCCTTTGAAACAAGCTTTTCCCATGGGACAAATTGCAGCTTGTCCTGCTCGTATTGAGACACAAAGGAGTCGACGAGGCTATCGGCCGGCTCAAGACGGTTCTTGATGGAGAGGCCTACGAGTCGTTTGCTTACGACCTCGAACCTCTCTGACCTCTCTGGGACACTCAACTTTCTTGGGATGGAGTCGTCCGTCCGCTCCACAAGCAGCTTCATTTCCGAAGTGGTGACAGCATATGCTTCATGAAATAGCCTTCGGAAGGAGCTTTTCTGCCCCACAGATGGCGGCGCCCCGAGGGCGGACTCGAATGCCGCGATGAGGTCCTTGTCGTCGCCGGAGCCCGGCGTGTAGCTCGTCATAAAGGCGACCTTCGCAAGCGAATTGACATCCACCTTCTCGAGTTTGTCGACATCCGCAGATGCCAAACCGACCTGGGCACATCGTGATTTGAACACCGGCCCCGACTCGGAGAAGGCCGCCATGGTGAGCCGCTTGGACCATACAAGCTGAAAGCAGCTGCAGGAGAGCTTTGTTCCCGATCGAATCAAGCTTTGCAGGACACGACGCCAAGCAGCTCCCTCCGCTCTTGCACGACACACCTAGTCACAGCACTTGACCGGCTTACGGAGCGCACGTGCACGGCACCACAATCTTTTCACAAAGTTTGGCACCCACGAGCCGGATGCAGAGTCATGTGCCCTGCTGCGCAATCAAGTATCTCTTGAAGCACTGCTTGCACCTTGGATGCAAAATTGCGGGTCGCCCCGCCAACTTCCTGTACTGACCGGAAATGGTCCGACCGCAGCCTAGGTTAGCACCGCCCTCGTCTGCAGTGAGGTGCACTACCCTTGACTGGCGGTGCCTAAAGAAAACACAAGAGGGATCAATCTTATCAAGATCAACTTTCCCATGCCAGCTCAAAGCCTCAGCAGCACAGGCCTCGTCGCCAGAGTGATCGATCTCCTCCTCGTCCTCAGAGCCCTCAGAGTCTGACGACTCAATCTCATCCCCCGGGGGATCGGCAGCAGCCGACAGCTCCGAAGCAAGTTGCTGACCCCTTGGCTTGTCGGGCTTGAAGGTCCCGGATGAGACTTCGTCGATCATAGAAGACAGCGCCCTGAGCGGAGCTGATTGCGCATCGGACTCATAGATCAGCTCTGAGCCTGCACCCGAGGCGCGGGAAGTGTGATATCCCAAAAGGGCCCTCTGTTCCCTCGGCAAACCTCGCTTGCTTGCCCAGCTGAGCAAAGTTCTCTTGAGACTATGCGTCCCAACATTCGCAAGATAGGGATCACTCTGAGCATTCCCCAGCAAGCTCCTGAGCCAAGAACATGCTTGGTCGCACGGAAGCGGGATCATCTTCCACGAGCCGGTCGAAGAAGGGCAGGGCAGCAACGGGTCGTTCTGCCTGATGGCCAAACCTGCCTCTGTCATAGCTTCGAGCCAGGCCTCGGCCCATGCACACTTGATGCCCATCTTCCTGGCTGCCATCGGCAGGTACCTGGTCTTGCGTTCCAAAGTGAAGCTCGTCTTTGACCTGCCCACATTACACTCCAAGTAGTGAGGCGAGTCGGTCAGCGACGCTACATTTTGCCCGTCGCTGTATCTTGCCCTTGCATAAATCAAGAAAAGAAAGAAGCCCGAAGCGACCCGGTCCTGCAGCGACCTGTCCTCAAGTTTGCAACAAATCCTTTCAAGAAGAATGACATCAGAGACCCTCAGAGGATTGCGCTGCTTGAGCTTCCTCTTTTGCATGTACAGCTTCGATGCAAGGCCGCGGATGCGACCCGAGGCGTAAACCTTATCACACCCTTCCAAGCCTACAACATGCTGTGCGAACGCCACAGATGAAAGAAGGCTCCTGAACGAGGTCGCCGCTGCAGTTGCCTTCTTCTCCTCGAAGTATGCATAGACAGCGTGCTCTGTCAAGGGGAAAACGAACGGCATGTTTCCTTTCGCCCAAGAAACAAAAAGCAACAAGCAGTTTGCCCTGGCGTTAATCGTCGAAGTGGCCTTGGCAGCAAGGCAATCTGAAATGCTATCCGCAAGCGACCCCGAAGAGATCCCCGACGCCTTACCGGCATAGAAGTTCCTAGCTACGCAGAAGGTCAAGGGCTCAACCATGACCAGGCTGAGCCACTTGTTCACAGCCAGATTTCTCTCCTCATTGATCATAACCTCCCAAGAAGTATGTTTGAACTTGGCCATTTTAGCACACACTTGTTCAAGCCCTTCCGACCCGGAGGAGGCAGAGGAGGAGAGGGAGAGACAAGAACCGGAGAAGAGGAAGGAGGGGAGGAGATCACGGGAACGGGAGCTGAAGTCATACCAAGATGCTGCGAAACGAGATCACTGGCATCATTCCGGATCCGCTGTCGTAGATGGGAAAGGAGCACTTCTGTCTGACGACGATTTCCCAGAATCTGAAAAAGAGCCTTGACCTGCTCTGTGTCCAAACTTCGTAGTATGTCATTGCACGAGGGCAGCGATCCAGACATTGGTGGTAACTGTGTCACACAGTACGGCTTGGACCAACATTGGCTAGGGCTCACTCACTTTCGCTCACATGCAATACTTGCATTCCGACGAAAGCAATCACTCTTGTGACTTTTGAACCGACTAGATAAGTCGCATTCGCACAGCTGGAAAAGCACATGCCGACACCGTAACTTGATGAAGTTGGCACCAACAGGTCTCAATGCCTAGAAGCTGATATGTACACACTGGCTTCAATAGAGACCCATGACGGACTCGAAGTCGGAGAAGAAATTTGATATGTCGCAAAGTCAGAAGACGGATTTGTACTGAAAGCTGCAAAAGCGATTCGCTGCACCGAGGAAGCAGATGGGTAAAGAAGAATGTAGCAGAATCATTGGACAAACCATGGTAATTGTGTGCGCGAAAGCATCGTCCCATTCCGTATATTAACCACCGCTGCCACTGGTCGCACTGCTGAGTGCGACATTGAATGGGATTGTCGCATCGGTCTGGACTCACATGTACACTGCTGCATACCATCAAGTAAGAACAGATGCAGTCCCGAAGTGTATCAGCCGTCCACACATGAAGGAACACTTGGGCAGTCATATCTACACAAGGGTTAAGCAAAGGCTGTCGAGCAACAATGCATAACATGAACCTGAAAGAGCATGCAAACAAATGCACTGCACTGCAACGCGCACACAACCAAACTTTTTCATGTGTCCAATGACATGTCGCTCAAGACCTCATCAACTACATCCTCAGAATCACATTGGAACGCAGACTCGGCGAACGAAGAACATGACGACCAGAACGAGGAACAGGACACCGACCGAGAACCGAAGGAGGAAGCAGAACGAGAACCGGACAGAGGAGAAAAACCAAAAGAGGAAGAGGCAGCAAGGGAAGCCACAGAGGAAACAGGAGAGAGGGGAAGAGAAGAGGGAGGGGGAAAGAGAGGGGGACGAGAAGAAGGACGAGGACGGGGGGAACAACCAGAAGAAGGCAAAGACCCAGAAGCACACGACAACGAGGGACGGGGAGGCGACAAGACGGGAGAGGAAGACGGGGGGAGAGCCAGAGGAGAAGCAGAAAAGCGACAAGGAAGGGACGGAGGAAGAGACGAGAGCACCGGAACACGGAGGCCAAGAAAGCGAGCAAAAGACAGACAAGACGCATGAGGTGAAACGGGTACATGCTGCTTAACACAGAAAAGTACCATCATGATGCGAGTTCCACTAAAAGGCATAGTAGCGTGAATCACATTTCCATCGAAGCAGCAAGGTTGTCGTACATCCAAAAGCCGTCCTGGAATCTGGTCGCCATATGAAGCAACCGTGCAATTGGCATCAGCAACTTCGTACATAATACGACCTCTTTCATCATGGACAAATAGTTCTCCACCAGTCCAATGTCCAATAGCCCAACCAATGCTGGGGCCGAAGTTGTTGGCATCTCTGTGAGGAATAGTTCTGACATTGCGATTGATCTGAATACTTGTAACGGCCAAGTCTGAGAATTGAGGGGTATGGCGTAACAGACCAACAATCAACTTGGTAATGCCAGGGAATCGAAATGTATTCTTTGTAAACTGCAACTTTCCTCGGGACTGAACTCCAGAATACAAGCCAAGCAAGATCTGATCAGCATGTGTTTGGTCTGTCGAGCGAACTTTCTTTCGACTGTAACTCATCCATGTGCGTGGTGGAATTCGCTCAAGGGCCTGGAATAATCGTGCAGCCAAATCATCTAATGACCAACATGAAGAGAAATCTCCATCTACATCGAGAGGACTGCGATCTACCCTCGGCATTGTACGGCTTTGAGTGTGGAAACAACAGATCAGAGACATGGTGATGATACATGAACAAGTGTCAGTGCATCTGCGACATGAAACTTCAATCCCTGGCATCGCTGATATATTCTTTTTGCGCATGCGGTCCACGACGGAGTGCGTAGCTCAAAATGTGGGCAAGCAATTGATGTGTATGGCAATCCAAGAAAGGAAGACATTAACAATGACCAAGAAAGATGCGAGATTACAAACATAACTACCCGCCCACAAGTTCCCGCCCAAACGCAATTTGATATTGCATAAAAGATTACAAAAGTTTGATTCGGAAAACTCTGACATGAGACCGTTCGCACCGGCAAGAAGCGAGCAACATGACTGAACGCAATGCGCGGGCTCCACATGTTTTCACGCTGCCGTGCAACGACTGTCGAAAGAGTGCACGAAAGAGGAAGGAAGGAGAGGAGCATAGCCGATGCAATGCTCCGTCGTTCACGTGTTGTGCCAACTGCACCCCACGATTCGTAGAAACCAACTGCACCCCACGATTCGTAGAAACTCTCCCCCTCCAAAACAGGGCTGGGCGGGTGGGTACACAAATGAGTCCCCCCCTCCCCTTTTGGACTCCGCAGAGCCGAGCCCAAAGGTTCGGACGAATATTGATTGTCATCTGTTCCTCCAACAGGAGGGAACAAGAATTGCACATGAAGAAACTCATGTAAAACAAATCACCGTGTGACATGAAAATCAATCCATAAAAGAGTCGAAACTCGACTCAACAAATGGAAAGCATTTTCGATATTGGCACATGAAAATGTGAGCAAGTTATGTTTCAAAATCTCATTCTGATGGACAAGTCCACCTCACGAGATTACAAACATAACTACCCGCCCACAAGTTCCCGCCCAAACGCAATTTGATATTGCATAAAAGATTACAAAAGTTTGATTCGGAAAACTCTGACATGAGACCGTTCGCACTGGCAAGAAGCGAGCAACATGACTGAACGCAATGCGCGGGCTCCACATGTTTTCACGCTGCCGTGCAACGACTGTCGAAAGAGTGCACGAAAGAGGAAGGAAGGAGAGGAGCATAGCCGATGCAATGCTCCGTCGTTCACGTGTTGTGCCAACTGCACCCCACGATTCGTAGAAACTCTCCCCTCTCAACGAGTGACAGTGGCACATCACTTCCAGGGATCCTTCTCGCGCAACCGTTCAGCTTTCTTAAGCTTGACTGCGGCTTTGGATGCCCGCTTCTCTTTCCACTCAGCAATCTCACCATACAATGCAGAGCCCGCTTGCAAAAGAGGCCTGAGAACCAGACCTTGGTATTCGGCAAATGAAAATCGTAGCCTCAACTTTGGATCGAACTGCTTGAAATCCCCGTTTGTCAGAGAGTCAGCCAGCATGTTCTGAAGGCGTGGTGCCCACGTGAGCTCGAGCATGCACGACTTCTCAAGGAGCACAGCAGTTAATTCCATCAAGACGGCCACCAATGGAAACGAAGTTGTGAGCCAACGCGAGACAATGTGCGAATTGCCCTTGTTGTCTGTCCCCGCTGAACAGACTGTTCGCGAAGGGCCCGCTCCCGTAGGGGCGAAGAGCAACACCGCCACCATGGTGGCCAGAAGTTCGAGGGAGGCTATGGATCGGTAAGACTCCCCCGCCATAAAGAAGAGAGGAGCGTCTTCAGGCTTAATCCGCTCGGCAAACCACCGGCACCGACGAGGATCGTCGGAGTCTGCACACGACCATCCGCCAATATGCATCTCCGGCCCCTCTGCTCTAGCGTCTGTCCTGAAGAGCTCCGGCGCCGCCTCAGACGAGTGTTGTGCAACCTTCGTCACCCTGAGACCCTTTAGCAACAGCGCCTCCACAAAAACCAGAACCAAGTCGACGGCCTTAGGGAGTCGCAGGGTGTGGCATTGCGATACAGCACTGGTCCAAGCATACAGCGGCCCCAGGAAGGGTCTCAGCATCGGAAGGACCGTGAAAGCGAATGAAAGGCGGCCCAACACGGACTGCATGTCGGCCACTCGCACCATGCCGTCGGCCCTGGTCTTGCGGATCCAGCCGACGATCCAATCAGTCCTTGACTGGCTGATGCCAATCGTCCTCCCGAAAGCGAACACCGAGAATCCGATCCAGCCATGCTCAAGTCCCCCGGCGAACTTATGCCAGGCAAACGGGGTCCCCAGCACCTGAAGCAATAAGATGGTCGCCAAGATCTTGATCAGCCCGTCTCCGGACTGGGTAAGCCATATGAGGTCGTCTACATAGCTCAGGAGAACCGTCGGGTCGCCTTGCAGACAGTAGTACAGAAGTCTGCCCAGTCCCGACATGAGTCTGTACCACCAGTACGAAGCTGAAGCGATGCCGAACGTCCCCACGCAGTTGTAGTACACCTTCTTTGGGTTTGACCCGCGACAAGCTTGTCGTGGCCAGTCCTGTTCCCGTACGCGGTACAGGCGATGAGCCCTGCTGATGTCACCACTCAGAGAGAAGTAAGCATGTGGCAGAATTTCCACGGCAGTCTGAAGATCAGCACCCGTGGGATATCGTTGGGCATCTCGAACACGGATGCAATCATTGACATGTTGCCCATTGCTGCCGTCGTGCACGATCCTCAGAGAGCCGTCCGGCTTGGGCACCGCCCCAAGCGATGCAACAGATAAGGAATCACCGTGCTTTGTCCGGGCCTCCTCCAGGTCGAGCGCGATCATCGCCCCCAGGCTCATCTCCTTGGCGAGCTGCTCATCAAGCTGTATGGGGTTGTCACGAGCCCCGGGATAGTTTTCGCGAAGACCATCTTCAAGCGGAGTGTCGGCATCGGGGTACTTCCTGTGCTTGAATTTCCGCTCGAAAAGTGCAGGCGTCCGAGGAAGGCGTTCCCCCACCCCGATCGGAACCCCTCTCGCAAAGGACACGGATGA